TCTCTCTCTCTCTCTCTCTCTCTCTCTCTCTCTCTCTCTCTCTCTCTTTTTCTCTCTCTCTATAGAGCAACTTCACGCATCATTTATTTCGTTCATGACTGTGTTATACTATTGATAGCAGCCAAACGTGAGTCTGTGTTTGTGTATATGTGTGTGTGACACACCCTTGCCCAACGACCATGCTAATTTTCTCTGCGCCACCGACCCCTCAGACGATCATCTATAGACTATGCTTCGATCATTGTCGCATCTGATTTGTGCTCCATGAAAATGTTTGAAATAAAAAAAAGAAGGGGTAACTTCGGTGCAGTCACGAAAATAGTTTGAAATTGCACTTCAGGCAATTCCGCGAACACAACACATCCCCACTGGACACCACCTGTCACAAAACCTAGGTTATATACATTCACCATTACCGACCCTTTTGCCTCAAGTGCATTTTCAAACTCAAACCCTGACTGCACCGTAGGTTTCTCAAAAAAAAAAAAAAACATGCACGCGTGCGCAAGACATGGGAGAGAGACCAGAGAGAGAAAAAAAAAAGGGGGGGGAGAGAGAGACCAATTTAACTACCTACACGCCACATTTGTGGCCCCATAGTCAAATGTAGTATCTTCTCTGATCAGTTTCATATCTGATTCACAGTCCATCAAGACCTTTGGGGGGAAAAAATAAAAAATTACAGTTACATAATCGAACAAATATGGTTGTTATCGTTACTTCAGCACAAAGTGTCTTTGAGGGCGACAAACACAACGAGCAAGCGAGCAAGCACATAGGCATCACAAATGAGAAACAAAAGACAGGTACATAAAATGACGAATGATACCAAGGAAAAACGATGTAAATTATTAAAACTAGTAGTATTACTGTACGTACATGTATGTATGGATGAATGTATATTCATAATACATATCGTGTAATATAAAAGAAAAGAAATGAAACAATCCACTAATTGTCAATCGTCCGCCCATTAAGTTATTGCAGTGTTATAGCGACAAAGAGACATGGTAATATTTTTTTTTTCCATTTTTTTTTCCGTCCTTGTCCTTCATGTCGTTGGCTCGTCGTCCAGTTGAACACAACGCACACTCATCCTCTTCCGCATCGTTTTCCTCTTCTTTCCTCCTCTTGTTAACCTTTTTTCGCGTGAACACAACACACGCTCATCACGACTCATCCCCTTTCGCACTGTATCCTCCCGTTTCGCCTTGAATTAACTCGTCGTCCCCAGAATACAACATACCCTCCTCATGACTCATCTCCTCCCACTCAGCTGTGAGTTGCAACTGTACTCTGCCCCTTTCTTAGGCTAGTTCTCTCACTACACCTCCACTTCCTGCTATTCTTCCCCGTGTAAGTGGTTATCGTCATGATGACTATATGAGACTGAGAAAGTTAACATATATATGTTCTTGATCACGACAAGTTTTGTTGTGTGCTCCTACTTGTTCTGAACTATAACTGCCCCCAATGCTATTTTAAACCACCAGTACCTTTCCCAACTATTGATTCCGAGCCCGTGCCTATCGGTGCCTATCGGCAGGACGAACCTTGTCGAGCCTGTGCCTACCCTTAGTAGCACAAACTTTGTTTTCTTACATCTATGAAAAAAAAGTGAGAAAAAAACCAAAAATAAATAAATAGAAGAACATTCTTATTTTTGTCAAAATAAACAAGGGAAAACACAGAAACCATCCGCGGAATGGAAGGGGGGGGGGGGGGGGGGGGGGGGGGGAGGGGGGGGGGGGGGGGGGGGGGGGGGGGGGGGGGGGGGGGGGGGGGGGGGGAGAGAGAGAGAGAGAGAGAGAGAGAGAGAGAGAGAGAGAGAGAGACGTTAGAAGTCTTTTTTTTTCTTTTTTTTTTTGGGATAGTTTGCAAAATACCCTCATAAGTTGAGATATATGCCAAAATGCCCCTGAAAGATGGAATGTGCCTAGGAGCAACTGGCAAGTACTGGGGCATTTTGCAAAGTTGGATGATACCCGGTAGGGGTATATTAAAAAGATGGCGGTCCAACCGATGCTAGGGGTATTTCACAAATATGTTTTTCGTCAGAGGGGCACTCTGATCTACCCCTTTCAGGGGCATTTCGGCGTATATCTCAACTTATGGGGGTATTTTGCAAATTTTATCCTTTTTTTTTTTAATGTAAGCAAAAACCCGGTCCGCCAACTCGACTGGAGGTTGTTTGAAAGACCGCGCTGTGTTAACCCCCACCGTGGGCCTTTAGAACCCGTAGGTATCTGGTTTTCAAGCAGGGAACAAAAACAATGTGGGTCTACTTGTAGAAGCAAGGGTACAAAATTGCTTTCTTTTGCCGCCAATATTTGGATTGTCATCAACAAAGCCACCATCTCCATTGGAATCCTAATGGCACCCAATCCACCACGAACTACCCCCTCCAACTCCCATGCGGCCATTTACAAAACGGCCCATTTTCAAGGCCATTTCCCAGAAGAGTCCCCGTCGCAACCGGCATATATGGGATAACAACCGTGTTCTTGCTCTTCCCAATTTCGGGCCCACAAAAAAAAAAAAAAAAAAAAAAAAAATCGGGCCCACGACCCGGCTCTTGAAGACTCTTCCAAACTCTTCTAGTATGTGGGGTCCAACCCTATGGGTCTCGCCGCACCGCACACGAAACGAAAACGAAACGAGTGCATCTGCGCACGAAAGGAGGCAAAATACACTCGTTACTATTTATAGCAAACCGATGAACCGGGCCATTACCTGCAGGCAGATGCACTCGTTTCGTTTTTCGTTTCGTGTCCCGTGCGGCGAGGCCCTATGTCTGGAGATTTGGCCCGTGGAATGGGGTAGGTTAGAGGGTGGTCATGTTGCTCTCACTGTTGTTTAGTTTAGGCAGGTGGGAGCTCGAGGCCCCAGAGAAATGTCGCCGCGTACTCGCCCGCGTTGGTGATCTCTTCGTCCGCTGTACTGAAAAAAACTTGGATTTTCCAGGGTTGCATCTGGCTTTGAAATTGGCCATGTTCCATTGAAAAGTCCGAACAAAAGGCTTGCCGCTAGTCCTGCCTGTTCTGAAGTGAAAGGGCGGGACTTCTGGTCTGATGCCTCTCTGCGATGGCCACCCAATGAGTGTAGAGGGCGCAGACCAGCTGCTCTGTTGCTCCAAGACGGGCGCGGGCGTCACCGAGTAGTTCAACAGAGCAGCGTGACACAATCCCCATGCGACACCAACTGTGACAGCAGCGGCATATCGGGCGCGCTGGGGAGCGACGGGAGACTTGCAGGACAGGTGAGCTTCGTCTCTCTCTCTCTCTCTCTCTCTCTCTCTCTCTCTCTCTCTCTCTCTCTCTCTCTCTCTCTCTCTCT